AAACTAATAGGCATTTTTGAGTTCAATTAGTAGTAGTTTTCCTAATAAACAGTCGATTTCATTAATCAAGCCCAAATAAGCTAGTTGTAAAATTCAAATTTGAAGGTCATTTAATGTAAGTTAGTATATGTTATTAGTTTGCTTGCAATCTCCCTTAGCAAATTAACAAGCGTATTCACTTGTTGAAGACAAGGCATGAGGTAACTCTCACTTCGTAAACAACCAATCAGGTAATCAAACAAAATTCGGATTCGGCAAACATAGTAAAGATTTAGCATGTAGTTGCTTAAACAAGTAAATTTGGTATCTTCTTTCTTTTATTTTTTAGAGACAAACGTAATAGAAATGTAGTCACCTTAGGACATCTTTTTTTTTAAAAAAAGTAATGAGACGAGCCTCGTCAAATAAAGATACACATTGCGGGGCCCTCAATAATCGATCATAATAAACACATAGGTTTTGGGATGGACTGTCTAGAAAAGTTCNTTATAACAATTTAAGCGACCGTGCTAGAACCACGGGATTCGAGGGTGCCTAACACCTTCCCTCGGGTCAACAGAATTCCTTACTTAGAATTTCTGGTTCGCAGACTTCATTTGGAAAAGTCGAAAATCTCCTCGATTTGGGATTCAAGATAAACCGGTGACTTGGGACACCAAAAACCAAACCTTTCCCAAGTGGCGACTCTGAATTAAATAAATAATCCCATTTCGAATATTGTCACTTAAATTAGAAAAACTCCCTCGCGCATCTAACCCTTCGGGGCGGGCGCGCAAAAAGGAGGTGTGACAATAGCCATACGGGACGGACCAAGTCACAATTTCCAATGGTGCACGCCCCCATGCTCGTCATCTAGCGTGTGTGTCACCTAAAAGTAGTACAACGATGTGAAATTCGGGGTTTCATACCCCCAGGTCAACATTTACAATCATTACTTACCTCGAACCAAACGAAAATCAACTCCGCAATTCCCTTGCCGCTCGGCCCAGCCACAAATTGCCCTGAATCTATCCAAAATCAATATTATAGCATCAATACAAGCCAAAGGGACAAAGCCCACACGAAAATTATCAAATTAAACTCAAAATCCAAAAATTGGCCAAACCCGACCCCCCGGGCCCACGTCTCAAAATCCGACAAAATTATAAAACTAGAAAATTCATTTGCTCACGAGTCTATACATACTAAATTCATCAAAATCCGACATCAAATGGTCCCTCAAATCTTCAAATCAAACTCTCCAATTCACTTCCATTTTCCCCCAATTTTACACCCCAATTTCCAATTTAGATGATGAAAATCAAGACACAATCATGGAATTTAACCAAAAACAAGTGAAGATCACTTACCTCAACCACTTCTCTGAAATTCCCTTAAATAATCGCCCAATTTCGTGGTATGTAGCCCAAAATATGATAAATGGGTTCAAACCCTCGATTTTAATATTTAACATTGCTGCCCAGATTTAACCCTTCGCGAACACGGTAGCTCCCTCACATTCGCGAAGCACAATTGCCTCTAACCCGGAAATCCTTCTACGCGATCTCAATGACTCACTCGCGAACGCGAACCTTTACTAGCATAGTCATCACGAACGCGACAGCCTTCTCTTGAACGCGATGAATACTCAGATCAACCTTCACGTTCGAGTCCAAACCTTCACGAACGCGAAGAATAAAATTTATCATCTCAGAAAACACTCTTCGCGAACGCGAAGCCCTTCCGCAAACGCGATGAACAAACCTTCTTCAACAGAAAACCAGCAAAATCTGCTAACACTCAAAACGAAGAATTGGTTTGTTAACCACCCGAAACTCACTCGAGGCTCTCGGGACCTCAACCAAACATGTCAACACATCCCATAACATCATTCAAACTTATTCCAACCTTCGAAACGCTCAAAACAACATCAAATCACCCTCGGATTCAAGCCTAAAGGATTTCAAAACCTCCGAATTCCGAATTCGATCAAAAAGTCTATCAAATCTCGTTCGAATGACCTGAAATTTTGCACACACGTCATAAATGACACAATGGACCTACTCCAATTTCTGGAACTCCATTCTGGCCCCGATATTAAAATTTCTCATGCCAACCGGAAAATGCCAAATTTCCAATTTCGCCAATTCAAGCCTAAATCTTCCACGGACCTCCAAAATACATTTTGATCATGCTCCTAAGTCCCAAATCACCTAACGGAGCTAACCAAATCATAAAATTCCAAATCCGAAATCTAATACTAAGAAGTCAAAACTTGGTCAAACCTTTCAAACTTAAAGCTTCAAACTGAGAATTGTTCTTCCAAATCTATTCCGATTATCCTGAAAACCAAAACCAACGATTTACATAAGTCATAATACATCACTCGGGGCTAGTCATGCCCAAGAACTGGCGAGCAAAGTGCAAAAGCTCAAAATGACCGGTTGGGTCGTTACATCCGCCTACGCAGTTATATACATGAGCTTTTGGGTACTTTTACCCCTCAGATGAGAGAAACTTTGCTTTTAGATGAATCAAAATAGGGCCCCATCAGACTTGATTGGTATTTTCAGCTTGCAGGTAGGCCTAAGTTGAGGTCTACCCCTCTAGAGTTTACAGTTATAGAGTGGTACACTTGGGCTGAATATGGCAATGGGTTCCGGCCATGCCTCCCTAGGTTTGGTTCGTGACACTCGCAAATGCAGCAACTGTCAAGTCAAGGAGAAATTGGAATTACGATGTAGACCTCGCAAATGCGAAGTTTACCCTCCTCGAAAATGCGCCGATATGGTCGCAATTGCGACCTACCAAACTTAGGCCTAACCTTCGGAAATGCGAACCGTCTATAGTCCCACCTGTCATTTTCGTAATTGCAATGTTGGTGCTCGCAATTGTAACAACTACTGCACCAGCACACCAGAAACCTATATTTGAGTCAAAACCTTTTCAAAATACGTCTGAAGCTCACCTGATCCCTCGGGGCTCCAAACCAAACATCCACACAAGTCTAAAAATATCATACGAACTCGATCGCACGATCAAAACACAAAATAACATCTATAACTATAAATCGGACATCAAAACGCATGAATTCCAAATGAAAACTCAAAAACCTCTAAATTTGCAATCAAGTATCTGAATCATATCAAACCAACTCCAAATGACAAAATTTTTTACAGACAAGTTATAAATAGCAAAAATGACCTATTTCAAATCACAAATCAAATTACGTACCCGATATCTAATATGTGAACCTATGGTCAAACTTAGAGAAACCTCTAAACCTCAAATTGCCAACTTTTGACAAAATAATACAAATCAACCTATGGACCTCCGATTTCGATTCGGGGATTACGCCCAAGTCCAGCTCATGATATGAACTTATTGAAGCAATCAAAATACCGTTCCGATATCATTTTAATAAAAGTCAAACTTCGGTCAATATTTCCAACTTAGGCTTCTAAGCCAAGAACTCAAGGGTCCAAATCAACCCCAAACCTCCCTGGAACAAAACTAACCAACCTCGCAAGTCATAATATCACAGATACACATATTTGAAGCATCAAAGATGTAACAGGGCTCAAATATACAAAATGATCAGTCGGATCGTTACTATTGTCCTTCTTGAGCGTCTGGTGGTGTAGCTAACTTGGATTCTTTCAAGGTGTTAGACTCAGATAAAAGAACCTTCTCTGATACCAATTATTATTTTAGATTTGTATCGTGGCACAAGAGGGATGGATGAATTATTTCTTACTAGTTTTGGCAAATCACAAAACTTAGTTCTTTGATATACCCAAAGCAGACACAAATAGCTAGTAAAGTACGGAATATAAAGAATAAAATAATTTTAACGTGAAAATCTCCTTGCTCATGGGAGTAAATATCAGGACCTACCCTCGTATGATTTGCCTTCAAACTTCACTAATTTCAAAGAGCGGTTTTAGGTTATAGCTCATAACCAGTGAGACTAACTCTAGTACCCTACCTCTACAATCGACCCAATTATAGTGATCGCTTTCCAAATAACTCTACTTTAAAAAATAAAACAAAAATATCACTATATTTGTGCTAAACTATGATTATGCTTCTCAAAAGCAAATAGGTTATAAGGGTGTATGACTATTGCCAAGAATAAAGTTCTTGATTTGTAAGAATAACATTAGTTAAAAGCGGCAGCAATATGTCTCCTTATACAGGTATGAGGGTGGCTGAATTCTTTCTTTAATTAATACTCCAAACGTAGAATATTTCATTTAAGAAAAATCCTCTTCTAATTTGATTTGGTTTCCTAGTTGTTTCCACATCCTCAACCTTTTCCTTCCAGGTAAGTAATTCCTTATCTACTGAAATCCTCTTAGCACATGGATTCCTCTACCTAATATCTTTAATTGTTATGCACGAACTGACTTCTTTTCGTAATTCAACTTGCGCACGTGTTCAATCTTCGCGTTTCTAATTGGCATTCTATGTTATCAAGCTACAAACATGGTTCTCTTGTCATCTGCGTATCATATTAGTTCATTAGTTTAGTAGCACGGTATCCTATCCACGAAATTTGATTCTTTTAATATGATTTATCCTAGTTTTTCAATCATCGAAACACATTCATACTCGATCATGCTCAGCCAACAAAAGCTAGAGAATACTAGATTTACAAGGTCAGATCAAACATTCATCATTTTTATTCAAGATACGAAATACTACTAAGAGAAAGTAAAACATCTTGTAATCGATTTTTTCTCTCCGGCATTTACTCTTTATTAACATAACCTTTGAATTATTTCTTATTTATCATCCATTGTTGATTAACTTTTCACAAAAATAGCAGAACAGAATAGTGACAAATACCTTATAAAGAGCATCAAATCATACGTGTGTAGCATAGTGGGTATAGAAGTTTACATTTGGCATAGACAAATTGCCTCAGAGGTTGGATAGATGCTGGACAAGATCTTCGCGCGGAGTGCAGACAGCCTTTAAAGGCTTGTTTTGCATAGTCATTCTAGAATTATAGCTTTCCTCCAAGCTTTCTGTTTCCCCAATTTGCCAGTCAAAGCATTGAATAAGTGCACCTAATGCTAAAGAAACTGCTCGCAATCCCATATCAGCTCCAGGGCACGCTCTTCTTCCCATTCCAAATGGTACAAACTTATAATTGAACCTTTCTGTTTCTCCTTCCGTTGCCTCAAATCTTTCTGGCTTAAACTTGTCAGGCTCCTCCCATACCTTGGGATCCCTGTGAATGGCCCAAGCGTTAACAAATAGCAATGTATTTTTTGGTACATCATATCCTCCAACAATACAATCTTCAGTTGAAAAATGAGGCAATAGAAGTGGTACCGGAGGATATAATCTCATTGTCTCATTAACAACGCAATACAAATACGGAAGCTTGTTGAGGTCAGATTCGTTCAGCAAGCGTTTGTTCCCAACTTTGTTGTCAATGTCAGCTCGTAGCTTATATAATGTGTCAGGGTGAGCTACAAGAAGCCTTATTACCCATTGGATGGTTGTTGATGAGGTCTCTGTTCCTGCAATAAAAACTACCTGCAACAAAATAAATGTGGCCATCATAAAAATTTAAAGGATCTATTTTTATGTTAACATACATATACAATTTATATTTGAATAATATATTTGTCGGACTTCATGTTCATGTGCTCATTTAAAATCTCGGAAATACAAACGAAGTTTACCATTTTACAAAAACAAGTAGAATTAAAATTATGGGTGGCAAAAGTGGCACAAACCCATTTGACCCATCCAGGTTTTAATGGGTTGGACATGAGCTACTTTAATGATGGGATAAGTTTTGGCACGACCCAACTAAACTCATTTGTTTTCAGTAGCCCAAATCAGCCCATGATTTAAGCCCAAACTTGCCCACGAACAACAATTGTCTTTTACAGCTTCTAAGGATGTGTTTTGATATGAAGTGATTTTATCACTTATTTTCTCATGTTTGATTGG